TACTTGAAAGATGGTGGCCTTTTTCCTTTTTTTTTTTTTTTTACCTTTATTCTCTTACTTGTGATAGTATCTTAATATTAATCAAATACTGGTTGATTCATGTCAGAACACTGCAGTCCTTACCCATTTTGTTCATAGATGTAGTTAGCCACCACATCCATGGCATTTATTTATTTATTTTTGCTCTCTTTTGAATTCTTTCCAATGAATCCATATCATTTCAAAGTGCAAGAGCCAAAATGGGATCCAGGTTAGTTGGAATACTAAACAGAGTAGGAGAACAGTGGCACATCTACACGTGCAATTAATGTAGAGCAAAAAACTCTGGTGTTATTGCACCAGAGTTTATTGCACCTCGGTGTGCTGTTTAAACATGTACCCAGGACTGCAGCACATTGAGATGGTTTGGGGAAGTCCCAACTGGCAGGGCTCTGGGGGGGCATCAGCCTGCCAACCTGGGTCTCTTTCTGCTTGGCTCAACATGCTGTGGAGGGGGTGGCTGGATTTGAAACATTTCAAAACTTTTGAGATGTTTTGAGTTTCATTTAGAAGCTATTTTGAAGGCTTTTGTTCCATTTTAATGTCACTGTTTTGAGCTCAAAGTGCATCAAATGCATCAAAACAGCTTCAAAATGAAACACCAGGAGAAATTTTGCACAGCCCTAATAAGTACTACTATTAGTTTACTCCAGCATAATAGCCCTGCAAGTGTAGATGCTGAGATGTTTACTGCAGAGCTAATTAGTCAACTCTGCATGTAAACATCTCATGTAGACACACCGCAGGAGCAGTAAATAGATAAGGAGCAGTAGATAGTGGAGAGGGGTATGAGAATCACTTCCTTGGACTTGCAGGTGACATTCCTATTGAATCAACCCAGAATGTTATTGTGTGGGTTTTTTTAAACAATACCACACTTTGGGTGTGTGCAGATGAAACGGAGGCCCTAAATTTAGGTGGTGGGTTTTTAAAAACACTGTTCCAGTTAAGGGCTGATTAAACCTCTGTATCGTACACACACCGTACTGACTTTGGTGGCAGGGAGGGGCAGGCGAGCTACCGGTGGGTGGAGAGGTTTCTGGGCTGCAGTGGGGCCTATCACTTCCCTCTGCAGCAGTGGCAGCCCACACCCAGAAGGCACCCATACACAGGCACCCAGCTTGGGAAATTCCAGGGGGCACCGCAGCCACAGAGAGAACCACCAGGCCCCTGCACAGCTCAGACAGGTAGGTAGGCTTCAGGGGGAAAAAATATACCAAGCTTGCCACTTTTCTTGGGCGGAGTCTGTCTTCCTGGACTGCTGTCAGGTCCTGCAGAGCCATGGAGCTGCATGGAGCCCAGTGCTTTGCTCCGTGGCTGTAGGCACAAACTAAAACTCCTTAGAGGAGTATTAGTTTGCTGTGCCCCAAATAATTTAAGGTGTATTACACCACCAAATTTCCTACAGCGGCTGGAATTAATATGCAACATGCCACCGAGGCATGCAAACACTGACACCATTAAAGTGGTGCAAAAACATTTAACCTTCTTTCAAGTATCATGCACATGCCCCCCTCATTTAGTCTACACAGGGCCTTTGACTTCATGTCCATCTGCTACATTCCAAGTCATCAGGAGCAGTTAGCTGTGTTAGTCTGAAGTGAATCAGGAGGTAGAGGACTTAGAGACAGACATGAGCTTTCATGGGCAATAATCTACTTCACTAAATGTATAGATAAGCTCAGTTCTCTCTGAACCAGTGGCATTACTGCAGAGTAGCACCTCTGAATGCCTTTCCTGTGATGCTATTGCACAGTAGCCTAAGACTATTGCACAGTAGCATTGCATCTCAGTTCTTGCCACGTGTTGCTACTGCACAGTAGTATCAGGCTACTGTGCAGTCAGCATCTCATGTAGAGGTGGCCAGTTAGTCTGTAATGTGCTACCCTCCCCTTCTTTCTACCAGAAAGTTGAGGTACTTCCCTCTGTTACCAGTTACACAAGCTTTTTTTTTTTTTTTTAGTTATTCTTAATAATAAAGAGTAGAGAATCAACTGGGAATTTTACTCTCCTCTCCTCTTGGTCCACCAAAACCCAGATATGTTAATGTCCAAGCATACTTTGAAGACCAAATATTTCCCTTGGCATTTGGAGGAGGAGATAGGGTCTTGGTGGGAGAAACTTAATTATTGTACTCTACTGTGAAATCCTATCTTGTATTATTATGTCTGATGTATACTCACTTGATGTGAGATTAGCAGCCCAATTTGACATTGTTATGGAGATTAATTATGTAAGGGCAACCAGAGCATAAAACAGGTTATTTTTACTATTTTATAAATCTAAATAAATACATAACAACTAGATAATTACATTTATCTCAGCTACCCAACTAGAGCATATCAGTATCATCAGGCTTCTTATATTCTAGTTTTGCATTTCTAATAAACTTTTTTTTTAAATAACTGACCTCTAGCTCCAGAGATAAAGCACAGAAAGGCTCAGAGCAGTCAATCAGTGTGATAAGTACTTCTTTATTTAACCTCATCATGAAAAATTCAATTTGTAAGAGATCCTTTACAGTTTAGTTAAACAAAAGGTCTTTTACTAAAGATTCTTTAGATGCTTGCCTTTTATAAAGTAAACACTTTAAGGTTCTGGATTTCTTTGAGTGTAACACATGATTCTCCTTCCTACCTTCATTAAAGTTTTTTTTTAAATTCAGAAATTGCTTTACAAGCAAATGATATCCTCTTTTGGTTCCACACTGTTGACTATCCCTCCTACCCAAGCACTTCCAGTAACATTTACAAATGCTAATATTAAGTTCTGTTGCACAAAATAAAGCCCTTTCTGCTACAAGGCTTCTTTCTTCTGTAGTTTTATCTTTTGTTAGAAGAACAATACTTTCACATACAACTATGGGAGTACTTTTGATAATTTGGGCTAACATTAGACCAACAAATAATCCTCCCTTCCTTCTCCAAGGAAACCCTTTTCAGTATTAGATACTGTAGTCATTATTACCTGTCTCATTGGATGGAGCTGATCCAAATGTGGTGATACAAAGCTGGGAGTTGTGAAGGAGCCAAGAAATACCTTCACAAGGCTATAATGTAGTCTCCTATCCCAGATTTAAAAAGAATTGATGCAACCAGAGGTGGATAGCGGGAGAGGGGGGAAAGAGAGGTGCTGGCTCAGTTATGCTCCCCTGCTACCGCATAGCATATACTAGTGGCTCTAGTTTCCCACAGGCCCAGACCTCCTGTAGGGCTCAGGCTATGCTCTGGCAACCCAGGGTGCAAACCCTGCTAATTATACCTCTGGGTGCAGGGAAGGGGGACCTGACCATAGTATCCGATCTCTTTGGTTGACCTGGGAGTGCGGGGAACTCCAAAGCTGCTGTTGCCCCACCCTAGTTAAGAGCAGCTGCACGGTGTAGTGGTATCAGCTGGGAATGGCAGTGGCAGCAGTAGATGGGTTATTGCTCCCTCCCTAGTTTCCCCCTGGGTTTCTCCCACTAACTCAGTGGTGTCAGCTGTTGGGAGCAGTAGTCTGGGGTGTGAGGCTCAGCTGGAGACAGGCAGTTTGTGGATTCCCGCTTTTTGTGTCTGTTCCTAACTGTTGGGAGGACAGGGAAGGGAGCAGTGTAAGAATCAGGGACCCACCAACTACTACTTATGATCTTAGCTGAGCCTGGCATCCTCACAGCAGCTCCCACCAGCCCTGTGTTAGCCTGGCACAGCAGTGACAGTGGGAAGGTCCCCACTTTGTTCCTCAGAGGTGTAGTTGGCAGGGTTTGCACCTGAAAATCTCTAGATTTTCTGAAAAACTTAGATGGGTCTCTGAATGTAACACATCATGGTTAGTTACATGCAATCAGAGAATAATTAACTAATCCATCAGAACTCACAGTTCTGTCATGGGAATCACAAACTGCAGCTGGTGACCTGAGCTAAAAATCAAGTGGACTGCCACTGCTTGTAGCAGGAGAGAAAGGAACAGAATGCAGAAAAGGGAAAGTCCAACACGATGCTGACTGGAATTGAGTGGGACAGAAAAAGTATTTCCTGTGGATCTCTAACTTTATGTTACTTATCTAGGCCTACTGCATGCCATACCTACTTTGATGTGCCAAGGTGTCATATGGTTCTGATCTAAAAATTCCATAAATCATACCCCTCAGATGTTGGCAGATTTCCTAAACATTAATTCTTTAGCCGAGGTGAGTTTTGAATATGCTACAGGAAGCATGGAGTGATAGGAAGAAGTTCAATCTCAGATGCTCAACAGAGTTTCTGGAAGTGTACTAGACTCCTTCTGGAAAGTAAGCTAAAGAGTTTTTAATATGAATATTCAGCAAGTTTGGCTTGCAGAGCCATATAGGACTGTGCAAAACTACAGACATACTGGGGGCATCTACACATGCATATTTACTGTGCAGTAATTTTACTCAGTAGAACTCAGGTATGCTCAGTATGGGCACTCATCTACATGTGCATGCCTGTACTGCACAGTAACTATGGTGACTTATGCCGACTTGAGAATAAATTTGATACCTGCATTATGCAGGTAGCAAATTTATGTCCGATTACTATGTCTGATTACTGCCTTACTATGCAGTAACATTATGTGTGTGAACTGACTTGGTATTAACGTTAGTCCCAAGTCAGTCCACATACAGCGTTAATGCTCCTTAATGCCTGTATGTGTAGACGCTACCCTATTCCTGCTTAGCACACAGTAATTTACTACACAGTAAATTTAAACCAGAGTAAATCCACATGTAGACACACCCACCCTGACTGTTTTCTGAACATAACATGTAAGTAGAAAATATGAAGCTATGTACTTGTTCCCTTAAGCCACAAAAAAAAATTAAACAGGCAAAACTACACTGAAAATACTTTCATTTGATCATTGAAATGCAACAGTCTCTCTCAAGGATTCAAATTGTGGGAGTTTCCATTAAAATAACCACTCAAGAATGTTTTATTTCTCCTTCCTTCTAAAAACCTTACCTGATGTGAGAGTGATGCTGAAGTGCTTCTCTTCATCATGAGTTTTCTGGCAAAACTAGGTTGGAAAAGTAAATTAAAGTCATCAGGTGCCTTTGCTGTACTTCATAGGCTGATAATAGCAACATGGAAGGCATAGATCTTCAGTATATGCTAACACTTCAGTGCCTTTTAGCAGGCAAAGTTCATCCTCTTTCTAAGGATGTTGTAGTCTGGATGTCTTGGTCCATGACTTGTTTATTTCCTTTCAGTATGGATCTTTCCCTTTCTCTCATCTTACATGTGTATTTTTTTTACCTGACTGGGCCTGGCTAATTGATTATTCACTCTCCATTGCTTTTGCTTCCTTCTATTCTTCTCTCCAGAATGACATTTCTTCTCAAGTGGTTTGAATTTGGTCTTCCCCCTCCCTATGCCTGACCTTTAAGTAATCTATTCACCCAGAAGGATTTTGGGTATTCTGTAATAGATTGAGAAAAAACTGCTAATATTTTAGGTTCCTTGGGCTACAACCCTTGTGGGGCATATATCTTTGGAACATAATGATTTGACATATTTCCTTTGATTCACAGTTCATGTATCACCTCTTACTATTATATCAGTCAGTCATTCAGCAGATTACCATGAGCCTACAAAACATGGAATCATACTATTAGGAATAGGGCAGTAGAAGCAGGGGACAAATAGATACTTGACTATTCTGTGGATATTGTTACTATTACCATTGCCCATCCTCAGTGCATTGCTCAGAAACATTTTCATCATGTACTAATGGGCTCCAGTTAAATATTAGCTCCATGCTGGGACCTTCTTTCATTTGAAACGTCAACCATATTCATTATGATTTAAGTGCCTATGTAGATTAAACCTGTGTAAAGAACTGTCAGATAATGAATCATCAGGTCTAATATAAGCACTTCTGTTGGCAAGTCACTGGGCCAGACTCCTGAAACAGATAATGGATTGATATATTTCATTTTGATATTTTAATGAATATATGTCATTCTACTTGTTAACATTTTAAAGTAACTATTAATAAATAATAAATAGGTGGAGTGAAAATTAGAAAGTTGTTTTATTTACAGGAGAATGGAGTGTCATGCCACTTACATGTTATATTTGGTGGTTTTTTCTTTTTTTTTTTAAATGCACTTATTTATTTTAAACTTAGAAAACTGCTGCTTCCATATTTTATAGATATGTCTGATAAAAAGGATATATTATCACTGCAGTAATTTATGGTAACTGACAACAAATCCCACTGAAACAGCAATCTCTTCCTTCCTCTGCCCATTTTCAACAGTTTGGAAAAAAAGATGAGTTCTACAATATACTTAATGGTATATGTCAATGATCTAGACATTTGGTTATCATTACCCAATGCCATTCTAGCTGAATGCACATTTCAATTGTTGTAAAATATATATATATAAACTGTGTGAGAGGCAAGGGATTTTTCATCCGAGGTCACCATAGGGGTGCTCAAAAACTTGTCTAAGATCTTTCCTAACTGCACAGTTTGTCCAATAAAACATATCATCTGAAAAAAAAATCTTCTGTCATGCAGTTCCTGGACCATCACAGCTATAACTTAACTCCAACACATCCAAAAAACCACTAACACAGATGTTGTGCCTTCCTCCAGAGGTGTGAACAAATTGAGTAGATCTGACTTTCTTAGTAGCAGAATATCTGAGAAGAATATAGTGTTGTGCAAAAAGTAGAAGGGTTACTCATGGATCATTACATCTATTTGCTTCTCGATTTTCATTCATATATAAAAGTTAATATAAAAGTCATTGCTAATAAAATTTGCCCATTGCACAAACATTGGCAGAGCAGGAAATAAGGGCAGGATAGTCAAATTGAGCAATCTGGAACTCTTAATAAATTGGATCCTTTAAAAAGGATGTATTGAATACTGATAATTTTAAGGTTATGCATGCAGAAACATGGGCTACAGACATACAGAATTCACAGTGACATCCTAGAAAACAAAGACAGAGCATTTCAGGAAAATAGTAGGCTAACAGCTCAACATGAGCTTCCCTTTCAGCCCCCCCCCCCCCTTCAGCCTTCTCTATTCTACTGGATATCCTATGTATCTGGGAGAAGGAGACCTGAGTCCAACCATCTCTTCTCTTCCATCTTGCATGCAGCAGAGGTAGCTGCCTTGGTTAGGCTGGGAAGCCACTCATTTCCCACCCGCTTCCCGCCCACACACAGGCATACCTTAGACCATCTGTCTAGACTGCTAATTAATGGCACTTCTCTGGGAAGCAAAGTGGCAGGTCCATAGAGGGGGGGTGTAAATCAGGTCTCAAGGGTGAGGGGAAATTACACCCACTTGAGGCAGCAGTTGGGGGCTGGTGCTCATGCACAGCAGCAGGGGGAAACATCCACATAGTGCATGGCTTGCTGGACAATTGTTCTAGACCAGTGGTGCCCAGTCTTTTGGCCCTGCAGGCCATGATTGGGCCCTGGGGATCAGCACAGCCCCCTCCCTGTTCCATGTGCCAGGATTGGGCCCCGGGGGCCCAGTGCCACCCCTATCAGTCCCCGTACCTTGGGATTGGGTCCTGGCACCACATCATTCCAACCTCCCTACACTGGGATTGGGGCTTAGTCTAGCTCAATTTCTGTGTAGCTCTGCATAATAGGATTAGGAACAAGATCCAGCATGTAGGTCCTGAGGCTCCCCCATGGGTCTGAAAATATAGCAGTAGGGCAATAGTGCCATTGCTTGCCCACTACTAAATTTCTGGATCTATTTGTAGCCCCATGGATCCAGCATTTCAGGCCAGATCTGACTCATGGGCTGGGAGTGGATTACCCCTAATCTAGATGGTTGAATTTGTATAGAGCGATAGGAAGAATCCTAATTGTCAAAATCCTGGAGATTTAATAAGTACCTTGCATTTCACAGGAGAGTTTTGTCATTGTTTCACTAGAAATTGCTTTAGTAGAGTGTTAGATAAAATTAAAAGAAAATCTTTCCCTATAACTCTATTACATTCTGAAAACTTTAAAAGGACATGTTTACTATAGAGTTGATTGCAATCCACATATTAGATCAAAGTTCGGCTTCACAAGGATCTTTTTATGGGGGGAGGGTGGGCAAGAGGGGGAAATGAGTGGGACATCCTCTTCAACAATCCTCCTGAGTTGTCTACTCTTAGACTAATCATGTAAAGGATTATTGCCATAAATTAGAATTACTTCTTTGCTTTCTTGAGGGAAGTGAAATTAAAGAAGTAAGACTGCTAAGCCCTTACTTCAATATTTACTTTTTTCTATAAGAATAATTCTTGGCTAAGTGCCACATCTGCCTTCAGCTTCTCAATTTACTGGTGTTTTACCTTTTTCCTCTGGAAAAATGAAGTATTTATTCATGTAATATGACATGTCAAAATATTATAACGATTATCCAGTTGCTTTATCTATGGTCATAATACCATCTGGTACAAAGCAAGCCTTCTCATTGCATGTGTACCATCTGGAACACCATCTATCTATATTCTAATTATTGTACAGATGAGATTTTTTTGTTTCTACAAAAACACCGTATTGGCTATATCCTTCACTGATTGCTTAATTTTTAAAAATACAATGTAAAATAGTGTAAAACAGAAGCTTGGCATCTTTTATTAGTTTTAGCAGCCACATTTTCCCATGCATTTTTTCTAAGGGATTAGAGAAAAAAGAAGTCTAATATTTACATGCATTTCACCATTCACTGAAATAGAAACAGGATTGGGTTCTTTAAAGATGATTACATTTTCACTTTACAGACTTCATGTACTCTGTTGTATGCTATTTACCTCACCAAGGTTTCTCCAGAAAAAAACTGGATCAAATTCTGATCTTGCTGCATAGTATACAAAGCTGGAGGAACACAGTTCACTTCAACCATACCTTGGATTTAATTTAGCATAGTAAAGAAAATAACTTAGTATATTTTTCTGTGTTTTTTGAAAAATATGGAACAAATTGCATAGCATTCTAGAATTGAAAGTGACACAAAATTAAGGTCCTATCCCTGAAGAAATATGTATATGAATAAATGTGCACTCCCAAATAGTTCAATGGGACTGCGTAGATGTGTGAAGTCATCCACATGACTGTGTGTTTAGCTGATTATTGTCTAATACGGACCATCCTCCTGGCCAGACCAATAAAAAACAAACTTTACTCAGTGTTTACAAAATGATTACTGTGCAGACCAAAAGTGATCTACTGAGGACAAATTACTAGGGGGGTAGAGCTTGGTCAGTACCACCAAGTCCTAACCCTCAGCATAGCTTTCAAATTTGATGCATGTCTCTGTCAGTTCAAAATATTTAAACAGCCACTTTGCATGTGCCTCCAAATTAAAAAATAATACTAAATATAATTATTAAAATGAGTAATAAACAAATCAAGTGGACTGTTTTCTTCTAAGAGATGTTGCCCTGACATTGCTAGCAAAAAGCACTCTGAAGGAGGAGCTGGAAAACAGGAATTGCATTTGTGAAAAATATTGAGGTTTCAATCCAAAACAAGACAAAGCTGAGACTTTACAATAATAGGCACATGCATACCTATCACCAATTCAAACACATACACTATACACGCCAAAGGTTAGACACAGATCACTAATTCGTATATCATGCACACTCAATCTGTGTACACACACATATATACACACACACACACACACTCACCAGTTTATCACACACATACAACCCACCTACACATACACACAGGTAAGTCCCTAACTTGGATGGTACAGTGTGTATATGTGTACTTGGGGTACCTGGGGGAAGGTTCAGATGAGAGAGAGAGTTAAAGTGTAGGGAGTGAAAGTTGCCAGAACAGGGATTAGAATTGGTGGACTACAGAGAAGCTGGCTGAGGAACTGAGGCTTGGGTCTACTTGAGGTAGACTGGAGCTGGAAACTGAGGCAGACAGCTGAGATATTGGGGGGGGTAGATAAGTGGTGACAAGGAGGAGACAGCCATGAAAGAAACTGAGGCAGAAACCTGGTTGCTCAAGGGAAAAGGAAAAGGCAGTGGGGATAAGACAGTGGCAAAGAAACAGGGGGCTTGGAGGTAGATTGGAGCTCAGGACAGGTGTTGGAAGTGGCAGTGAGCCAGAAGCAGGAGAGGGAGAAATAAGACAGAATTTAGAGGGGTGAGGAGCAGAGATTGGAGCAGGGCCAAACCATAGTAAAGTAAAACCCAACTTAGGGGTCCAAATAACAGTTTTATTACACAGACAACACACTACACAGCCCCATGAAGTTATTGGTTCACACGTATACATACACATACACACACAAGCACTCACAATGGCAGCAGGAGAAAGAGACTTAGTGGAAGGGCTGGAGGCCAGGTAGGGAAGAGAAGCAGAGTCCAAATCCTTGGTTGAAGAGGGGGTGGGGGGTGATAGCTACCTATGCAGTCTGGAAAGTAGTCCTTGTCCAGTAGGTGTTGTCCAGAGGGGGTTGCCGGCAGGGCTTCTGGGTGGATAGGTGGTGTGGCATGGTGCTGGTTCAGATGGAGAGGGCATCCCACTGGGTCTGACTTCACTGACTCTTTTTATAGGGGTAGACCTTGCGTGACCCTAGTGACAGGAAGCATGCCCAGGCAAGGGTCAGCCCCTGGCATACTGAGCATGTACGCTCCATGCAGGGATGTACAGTTTCAGGTGTCTGTAATGGTGAGGTACAATGGTCGAGTTGCTGGTTCTGCAGGGTCTTTTGTCTTTCAAATGCTGGGTTCTTGTCTCTGTTCCTCGATGAGGTCTGTGGTTCCTGGATGAATCAATGCGAGGTGATGGCCCAGTCATTACAGACCATTCAGTAGAGGCCTGCTACCATTGTATTTCAATCATTCCCAATTACTCCCATTCATCTGGGAGCCGATTTACATGGGAGGGATACGTGAATCATACAGTTGCAACACAGGGGATGCCTGGGCAGGACACAAGATAGAGACTTTACATACAAAACGGAAACTTGACGTTACTTTGGTTCAGTTACAAACACAGGCCTAAACTATACAATATTCATATGAAACAATAATAATCAATACAAAAATGATAATAATACAATATATAACAGTAAAAATCAATACAAACCTAATAATAATACAATATAAAACAGTGGAT